TGAGCTACATGAAACTTTTCCCTCAGGCTATGACAGCAGACAGCTAGTGGTCTCACCAGCTACCCACTCTCTTCTCATCACAGGAAAGGACTCTCTCAACCTGTGCTGGGCGGTGTGCTTCCCTCACTGGAAACAAAGGTGAACCAAAGCACCAGCTTCATCTGCTTCCTCCAAACACACACCCCATCTTTGGGAGGAATCAATCATGGTGTCCAAGTGACTTTCAGCTTTCAAAGCAAAATCCAGAAGAGCAGGTTTAGATTTGGCCAAAATTTGCTTTCAGTCCTGCCCCAGAAACCTCCCAGTGACATGGGCAGCTCTCTGGGCATAGATACATAAAAAAGACGGCAGACAAAATGTAATTTAATACCTTTATAGATTATAGTGTAGCCACCCATGGGAAAACTGAGGCTCGGTGGTGTCAAGTGTGCTCGGCATCACATTTCTGGTGAGAGTCAGAGGAGGGAGTCCAACACGGCACCCCAGGCTCCACCTAAATAAATCACGAGTTGCTCCTCCTATTCCATGCTCTGTCCTGAGACCCCAGAGAACATGGAGAGGAATCTGACCTCTCTGCATCCTCACAGGCTGGTGGCATCAGGAAAGACAGTGAGATAGCCAGGCCCTCCTTTCTATTCCTAGACACTCCTTCCGCTAAAGAAATGCCTGCTATTATGTGGTCACCCGCCTCCAACAGCCCAAGAGTATGCCCTGGAACACTTCCATAAGATCTGTTAGAAGTGAAGGTTAACACATGCCTAGACCAGGTCATCTGACTTATGCGATGTTTTTCTTTCTCAGCAACCTGTAGAAATGGTATTTTTTTTTTAAAAAGTATTCAGTGTTATCCATAAGGGTTTAAGGGTTCTACAACTAGCTGACTCTTACTTCATTTGTTTTGTTGTGTTTTATTTTCATTTGAGTGGTTGTGGATAGTGGGATTTACTAGAAATGCCAGTTTAGAGGAGGTGTGGAAATTCAGGGTTATCTTATCAGATAGAGTCCTTACGAGCAACAAAACTGAATGGCTGATCAAAGTACTCTGTCATAAAATTATGAGTCTTAAAACTGGAGAGGATGCCATACACGAGGCCCAAGCCTGGGTCTGTGCAGTGATCTCTGCTCAGACAGCCACCTATGCAGTGTGACGTTCATTAAGCACGGAGGCAGAGTGGTGGTCCACACCCCCGCCTCGGGGCAGCTTCAACAAAGGTTTTCAGCAAAGCTTATGTTGAGCTTTAAGGAAGAAATGTACTACTCCACTCAGTAATCTTTCTTTTGTTTCTGTTTCTGTTTTTGTTTTGAGACAGGGTCTTGCTTTGTAGTAGTGCAAGCTGACCTTGAACTCATTGTGTAGCCCAGGCTGGCCTCAGACTCTCTGTGATCTTCCTGCTTCAGCCTCCTGAGTGCTGGAATTCCACGTGTGCACCGCCACAGCTGGCCTCCACTCAATTATCTTACAAAATTTTGCACAGTTAATTATACAGCTGGAAGCCTCTACCTTATTAAAACATATAATTCAGTAAGAAAACCTGTGAAGCACACAAAATTATCCACTGGGGGAAAGAAATCCAGCGAATTGTAATGCCTTACAACTCTGAGTAGATGTTAAAAATTTTATTAAAGGGATAGAATAGGTCAGTGGTAGAGAGCTTGCCTAGCACGTGTGAAGCCCTGGGGTCTATCTCCAGAATCTCTCTCTCTCTCTCTCTTTCTCTCTCTCTCTCTCTGTCTCTCTCTCACACACACACACATACCATGAGCATGCACTTATATCAACAAAAGTAGAATTTCATAAACTCAAGTTGAAAGAAAGTTGAGCTGAAGGAAAGTCGAAGATGAATGAAAAAAAGTCAGATACAGCAATACATACTGAATGATTCCATGAATATAAAGCTTAAAAATGGGCAAAACTAGTTTTGGAAAACCAGCATGGCAATTCTTTAAAAAATTAGACATAAAACTGTCACATGCTCTAGCAATTAATTCTATTTTCAGGTATAGAGGCACCTGGACTGGCATCAGGGTTACAAGGAGATACATGTGCAACCTTGTTCACATCAGCATGATTCACAACTGCCAAAGAGAGAAGCTACTCAAGGATTTATCAACACACAAATAGAGGGACGTAATGTGATCCATTTTCATCCTTAAAAAGCACAGCACTTGATGACACTATGCTCAGTGATGAAAGCCAGGTACAGAAGGATAAGCACAGTATGATTCTACTTATATGAAGTCCCAGAGTAGCCAAAGTCAGAAACAGAAAGTACAATGAGTGCCAAGGGCTGGGAGCAGGGGCAATGGGGAGTTAGCACTTAACAGGTACAGAGTAGGTTTGGGAAGATAAAAAAGTGCTGGGCATGGGAGGAGGTAATGGTCACACAATGATGTAAATGTACTTATGCCACTAAACTGCACACTCAAAATTCGTTAAAAAGAGAAAGTGTGTGTTGTGTATACGATACCACAATGGAAGGTATAGCTCAATGGTAGAGCATTTGCCTAACATGTGCCAGGCCCTGGGCTCCACTCTCTGCACTGGAAAAAAAATACCTTTTTTTAAAGGGAGGGTAGTATAGGTACTATGGGAGGGTACTAAACTGTGATGAGGCATGTGGGCTGGGGCTGGAGAAAGTGCAGGAGGAGAGCTTCCTCCTGGGTTGTTTCTTGTTTACATGCTGGCTGCATGAATGCTTTCAATTTGCAAACTTTCATCAAACTATACATTTACAATTTGGGCATTTCTCTGGAATTCATGTTATATTTTACGAGTTTGAAAAATTATATACACAAAATTGAAAACCTAATATGCAAAAAAATAGCTCACAAGGCTGAAAGATAATCTTAAGTCTATAACAGCAGACAATTAACTTGTGTCCACCTCTGCTTCTAATAGCTTCTAGCACTCCCAAGTTGATAAGGCAACTTGAAGTTTTGTTTTCCCAGCCATTTTTGCACATGGGCAAGGGCAACCACTTCCCCAGAAGTCAGATCTTCTTTTAAAGACTTTCTCGTAGAAGTTTCCCCAGGGCTGCTCAGCACAATCCGGGCTTCTAGAGGCAGTTTGAGTAAAGAACCACTGAGCATGTGGAGATCCCAGCAGGCAGCTTGGTAGGAATCAGGTAAATCACAGGTGCACGCTTACCCGAGCCAGCAGGCAGCTTATTCATTAATCAGGTGCTTACTGCCTGTCGCTCTGGTTCCCCTCAGCCTGGCAGACTGGTGGCTTTGGAAGGCTTCCCAGTTGGGGCCCACAGCTCCCCTTTTCTACTGGTAGCCAACGCTTTTCTCTGCAGGTTTCTGCTCCATAAGCCTGGGGCTGAGTCTATTCCCATCCGGATCTTCCATACAGGCTGGCATCTTGGGGTTCTTCCACTTTCCCGAACTGCTCTTCATGTGACCCAGGTTATGAATCGAGCTGGTTTCTCCACCAGAGGTCCCAGGGCTCCTTGCTCTCTGCCTCCTCATCTTTCTTCCAATGATTTTCTTTCTACTTTAATCCTGCATTCCTTTCCTCACCTGACCACAAGCCCCAAACCAGTCCAGAGCTCACAGAGGCCAGTTCTATGTTTCATTACCATCCCATCCTATTCGTCCAGCCTTTAAAAACAGTGTAGGGCTGGAAGGGTAGCGTCTAGTGCTGGAGTGCCTGCCTAGCATGCACGATCTCTGGGTTCCACCCCCAGCTTGAGCATGCACACATACAATTACATGTCTATATAACCACGTTGACTTCTTATAATATACTGAGCACTACATCCATACCATCTAGTGCTCACATCTTCATTTTACCAGGGAGGAAACTGAGGCTCACGGTAGTAACTTGCCCATGAGCCCATAAAAGTAGCAGAGCCCAGATGCCAGGCTTCCCGGGGTTTAGGGAGCTACCTATCACACCAGGTGGGTGTGGAGCCTTGCGAACATTCTCCTGGGATGAGTCTCCCTGCTGAGTGACACTTTCCCAGGGTGCTGTAGCATTTGGATCTCTCTGGCTTCCTCTAATCACAGTTGGGAAAACCTCAGCACGTAATCATGAAATGTGAGGGATGTAAGGAGCTCAGGGCTGGGAATGTGGGTCAGTGACGGAGCACTTGCCTAGCGTGCACGAGGTCCTGGGTTCAACCCCAGCAATGTAAAAAATAACAGTAAAAATAAAGGCGTCTCTGGACTCCCCCTGGTTACAACCTTTTGTTTTAAACATCACATACAAGGCCAGGGCCCTTTTTATTTATTTACCCAAATAAAACCAGGGAGCAGATGTGTGCAGCTCGGCACGCCCCAGCTCTGGGGAACATTTGTATTTCCAGGGCTGGAACTGCAACGTGTGAAATGCCAGGGTGGAGGAAAGGGGCTCTAGGCAGAAGGAGATGGAAGAACATGTCCTAAAACGACACCAGGCCATCTTTCAGCTGGGGCACAAGGGGCAGTTACAAACCACCCTAACATTAAGGTAGACAATATATATATTATTTCAGACCCAGTGCTGTCCACTTGAGAAGCCGGGACTAAAAGCCTGCTTCCCCTGGACCCATTGCACAGCTCAGAAGCAGGATCTAGAGCCCTAGGAAGCATGGGTTGGCATGCACAAGGGCTACCGTTACTGTTTGTGATAGGGTCTCACTATGTAGTTTGGGCTGACCTCGAACTCATGGCAATTCTCCTGCCTCAGCCTCCTGAGAAATGGGACTACAGGCATGCCCTACAATACCTGGTTCCTATCACTTTAGAAAGCTGCTCTATATGCTACTCTGGGGCTAAATAATCAGCCTCATGCATCCAAAGACAGTTTCAGGCCAAATCTGTCAGAAAAGAAACTTGGTTTTTGTTATTTATTTATTTATTTATTTATTTTGGTCTTTTTGAGACAGGGTCTTGGCATGCAGCTCAGGCTGGCCTTGAGCTCAGTTTGTAGCCCAGGCTGGTCTCCAACTCACAGCGATCCTCCTGCTTCAGCCTCCAAAGTGCTGGGATTACAGCCATGTACTGCCACGCCCGGTTGGAAAAGAAACTTTTATTTAAACTTTTTTTCACAATTTGTTCAGGATAATTCGAAGGGGGAGCACGGCATTCTTTAATGTTGAGTAGGGCAAGGAGTAAGAGAAAGGCTCGTTTCTCAGTGACAGACTTTTGCAACTGAAGATCCAGATAACATTTACAAAAGTGGGAAGAGATCTTCTTTTCCACTTGTACAAGGAAGAAAAGGGTTTGCTTAACCTTCCAGTGCAAATGAGGTTCGTTCACCCTTCTCCACTTCCGGTGGGGCTGGCCCTCCAAGGGAAGGAGTGCTTTTCCCTCCGGAATCTCCTCCCTGACCTCTGTGACCACCGAGCCTGCACCGCAGGGAAGCTGAAGAATGTCCGCTGTGCACCTTTGCTCTAAGTCCGCTCCTCAGAGGCCTCGGTAACTACTGGGCTGTTTCCTGCCCGGCCACAAAGCAGATCTGGGCTTGTGCGGGGAACCCGCTGCCTCTTCCGCCTCTTTCCATCACTTCGGACACAAGCTTCCCAGCTCCCCAAACAGAAGCGCGTCCCAAGCCTTGGCCCACACCTGTGAACTTCGCTCCTCAATGGAGTGCTAGAGGCCCCTCTAAGCAGAACTGGACCGTGTCCAGGCGCTCTCTGCAGGTTCCTCAAACATTAACCCGGCAGATGTTTTTGCAAGAGGTTCATGTTTGGCTTTCCAGTTGGTTCTCCAGGCTCCAAGGGGCGAGTCTGAGGGTGGATCCTCAGAGTCCACGCCACCCCCACAGTCCTCTGTCCCTCCTCCCCGGGGAGGCAGGGGAAGGAAGCCCCTTGTGTGCAAGTGCTGACCGCCACCGACTCCCGCAAAGAAAGCCATGAGCCCCGCCCTCCTAAACTTCGAGGCGTCCACGAACCCTCCTCCTAGTGGAGTTTTGGAAGGGTTTTTTCCTTCCACGCTGCCTCACCAGAACTGGCTTGGGGCATCTTTTCTCTACAATAAGAAACGACTGCTTCTCTGATCAGCTGCAGGGAAGGGCCCGCTAACCCGGGAGGAAGGAAACCTGGCCACCGCAGACCCTCCCTGCCGGGAGACCAGCGCGTGCGCCAGGCGCTCCAAGGAACTGGCGAGGCGGCGCCGTTAGAGGGCAGCACGCGCCTGCCTCATGGAGAGCGGGCTCCCAGACACCCCTTCAATTACAGGATGTCTCTAACTGCAAAGGCACTGGGGCTCCAGCGTCTGCAGAAAAACAAGCTGGAGAGACCCAGGGAGGTGGAGAGGAGGCACGCCTCCGATGGAAGCGCTGCTCCCAGGAAGGCTGGGCTGGCAGCCCTCGCCTCCTCGTGCCGAGAGCCCGCACCCTGACGGGGCACCCCGTAGAGCGCCGAGCAGGGACCCAGGGAGCGGGGCGGGGAGCCCGGGCACCCAGCCCTGGGCGCACTGCGCTCCGGGCCTCCTGGAACGCCGGGACAAAGGCGCTTACTGGTGCTGCCCGCAGCTGGGGGCACGCTAGGCTTTACAAGGAAAGACGAAATCCGATCCTGGCAATCGAGATAGAGCGTCCGCGCCCGCCTTTGAGGTGACCCAGTTCTGAGACCAGCGCTTGGCTCAGGACGCTCTTGTAGGTAAGAACGAGGCTTCCTCCCTGCCTGGGCAGCCCCACGCTATGAGGGCCCTCGGGCAACGGGCATGGGCCTCTGCCGGCCCTCTGACCCAGGCGCCTTTGTGCTCCTCCCAAGGGAGGAGGCTCAGGGCGCAGAAGGGGCCTGGGGCTCTGGACCGCCCGCCTCGGGGTGGGTCACCCAGGCGGGGAGCGGGGTCTGGGCGGTCTCCTCCGTTCGCTTCTCTGGAGCTGCTCGACAGTCTTCGCGGCCCCACCTGATGGGAGAGACTTCTCGTGGCAGGCTTTGCCCACTCCCCAAAGGCCTCACAGATGAAAGCACCAAGCTGAAGGTGACAGGTGACCGAACCGCAGCTCTGGAGTCTGGGCGCAAACTCCCAAGCCCAGGGTTAGATCAGGCTGGGTCCTCAGCTCTTTCTGCAGGCCCTCCCCCGCTTGATAGGCGGTCCCTCCGCCCACCCGCCCTGACCCGTACAAGACAGGTGAGGTTCAGACGCCCTCAGTCCCCGCACAAAGCTGTCACTCAGTCTGTCGCCATGCTTGACCTTTCTTTAGGAGGTCATTATTGTTTGTCGAGCATCACTCAGAAATATTTCATTTTCACCACCACCACCCACCCCCCTCCCCGCCCCGCGGCGCTGCGGGTCTTCCGAGTGCTCCCGATTCTGTGCCCTTCCTTCTCAGCAGATGACCCTGGGATTCTTCTTCCCTCCACATTCAGTTCAGTGGTTTCAGCTGAAAAGGAACTCGGCAGCCTGTAAATTGGGAGCAAGGTAATTGTAGACATGGCTCTCACCATCCAGGACAGAGAGGCTTGGAGGGAATGGGGAACTTCACCTCTGGGGGCGGGTTCTGCTTTCCAACTGCCTTGTTGAACTTCCCAAGGACAGAACTGAACTTCCCAAGCAGACTGAACTTCCCAAGGACAGCAGTCGAAAAGCTGGAGGAAACGTAAACGGATCCAAATTTTTCCATTTTCAGTGTTAAATATTGAGAAGTGATATTGGCTGCTGATATGGGAAGTCATGAAGATGGATCACCCCAACCATCTTGGCATTTGAAACAAACTTACTGTTTACTGTGATTCAAAAATCAAGTTGACACTTGCAGGTTACACAAAATTCTCCCTATAAATTATAAATAAAAGAATTAAGTGGGTCAAAAATTATGTTGTATGAATAGTTGTAGGGTTTTTTTGGTAGACTAATTCCGACTTGATAGAGAAGACAGCTCTGTTATTTTCCTCTGGAACCCCTATTTTCTGTCTCATGGTTGTACAATTCCAATACGGAGACTGCAGGCATCCCCTGCCCCTGCCCTGGGCCGTGAAGGAAAAGCCACCCAACGGTACTCCACTCCTCAATGTCCATGTTAAACATGCACTACATGGTCTCCTGACCTGCTAGGTCTTTTGTCCCATTCACCCAAGAGGACTTATTCTTCACTGCTGTTGTTTTGGACACATTCTCCACCTCCCTGAGCCCACGTCCTCACCTCTAAGATGATAGCAGTATCAGAGTACCTACTTCCTAGTGTTATTGCAGGGATTAGATAAAACAGTTCAGACAAGGCATGAGTACCATGCCCTCAGCCATCAGTAAGTGTCTGGTTTAAGTTAGTTATTACCATTGTTTGCTGCTAGTATGGACCCAAAGAGGTTGACAGGCATCTTGTTCAACTACATATCCAACACTTGAGTCTCTTTTCTTTTTTTTTTTTTTTTGGTTTTTGGTTTTTCTCCGGTACCGGGAACTGAACTCACGACCTTGCGCTTGCCAGGCAGGCGCTTTGCCGCTGAGCTAAATCCCCAGCCCCCGAGTCTCTTTTCAAACATGCCACCAAGCACTCAAACTCTTCCAATGAAAAGGACCGTGATTCCCCACGAAGCAGCCCAGTCCATCTTCAGCCAGCTGTTCCTGCAGCAAAGTGCATCCTTGTGTTGAGATGAATCCCAGCTCCGGGGACCTTGGTCCAGTTCCTTAGAGCCAGGGTTCTGACTTGGTCAAAATTTGAGTATAGTTATCACATCCTTTTTTGTTCCTCACTGGCCATCCCTACTTCTGCCCACCTGAGCTGGTGGCCCTTGACACATGACAAATGTGGGTGGTGGCTGTTTCCCTGTAGGTGTGGTGCCTGATCAGCCCAGCTTATTCCAGACCTTGTGTTTCTCTAGTAGCCCAACCTCAAACAGGCTGGGTATCAGGGGTGTCAAAACAGCTGGTGGCTCCTTTATATCCTTTTGGCTAAAACCCTTTTGAGGCTTTCTCATCGCAACTCCAAGGGCCCTTCCTGGACTTGTGCAATTCATTTTTTCCACCCAAGTGAAGAAAGTGACATATTTGCTTATTAAACTCAGCCCATTTCTTTGTCTTCCAAGATGTTTTTTGGCTCTTGCTTCTGGCACTCTAAATGTGTGTTAGTGTCTCAGCATGGAATAGCCAACAGATTTGGTAAAGGGCGACCTTTATGACTTTGTGTGGGTGACATACGATGAAAGTGTTGGACAAGACATGACCAGGAAACCCCCCCTCCTGGGGGGCCCAGCTCTGATAGTCAGGCCCCTCCTCATCAGCTTCCTCTCCAGGCTGCCTCACCTCCCTGCCCACAACCTCTGAATAATCTTCTGCCTGGTTTAGGCCTTGCAGTCAGTGGCCAAGAGGAAGTGGAAGCCTTTGAGGAAGGAGAGGGAAGTAAGTACTCCTGGGGGTGGGGGGCTGGAACAGAGAGGGGAGAGGACCAAAAAAAACATATGTATATATATATATATATACATATATATATATATGTATATATATATATGTATGTATATATATATATATATATATATGTAAAAAGTGAGCAAAGCAGGGACCACAGGAAGGAAAAAACAAAACATAAGTAATTAAATAACTTAAAAAGAGAGGTGAGAGAAAGTGTTAGAGGAAGTAGATAAGGATTATGGTAAGATTTTTTTTAATGGATGGCAGAAAAAAGTATAACAAGGAGGGCAAGGTGAAAAAAAATCAGGGGCTGGGGATGTGGCTCAGTGGTAGAGCTTGCCGTGTATACGCAAGCCCCTGGGTTCGATCCCCATCACCAAAGAAAGAAAGAAAACAAAAAACAGGACACCATGGCAACAGGGGACAGCAAAGGACCATCAGATTGAGAAGTCCCCCAGGCCACCCCTATGGCCCAGCAGTTGTCAGTTCTTAGGTTTCATGTGTGTCACCAGACCAAATGACGGTGACCTCATTCAGACAGAGGGAAGAGCTTCCCAACCCAGACAAATTTTGATTCTAAAAATGTTCAATCACAGAAGGATGTTTTCACTTCCTGAAAACCCTGAGGCCTAGGAAATATATACACCAGGGTTTGTCGAATACACCTGCCTTCCACAGGCCAGCTGGATCTAAAATAAACCTTGAAAACAAACCATGATCCTACTACACTTTGGAGCTCTGGACTCTAACTCAGCAGAAAGCTATCATTTCTTCTGGTCAGAGCTCTCTTAATATTTGGGGCGTGTGAAGATGTTCAGGGATTGGACAGAAGGCTCCTGGATGTACAGCTGCGTGTGTTCCATGAACCAGCTGCTGTGGTTGGAATGTGTGCCCCAAAAGTCTGTGTTAGGAGGTGTTTGGAGATAGGGCCTTTGGGAAGTAGTCAGGATTAGGAAAGGTCATGAAGGTGGGACCCAGCAGCATTAGTAGCTTTATCATTAGAAGAATACAGACCGAGGCTAGCATACGTGCTCTGCCTGACCATGCAAGACCCTCCGCCCTGCTATGCTGCAGCAGGAAAGTTATCACCCGGATATTGTACTTCTCGGCCTCCAAAGTGGCGAGCTATACCCATCTCTAGCCTTTATCAGTCACCCAGCCTGTATATTAGTGAGTAAAACCCAACCAAGACAGACACCAGTCCTGATCTTCAGAAGGAAGCTGTAGTCAAGTTCTCCATCTCTGAAGATTTAATTCAATCCATATCTCTGGACTTCTTACTATGTAGCCTGTTTAAAGAAGCACTTACAGTATGATCCACTTTAGCAGAATTAATTTCATTAAATACCCTGACTGATACACCAAGGCATATCATAAAATGTCACAACACAAGGACAAATTGAGAAAGCTAGAACTTCCAAAGAGGAAGGAAACTAGGTCCCATACAGAAGAAGAAGAATGAACATGACATTGACTTCAAGGACAACCCTGGATGCTAGAAGAAAATAATCAGCACCTTCGAAGTTTTAAAGAAATCGAATAAAGGGACTGGGGGTACAAATCAGTGGTGGACCACTTGTCTAGCACACACAGGGTCATGGACTCAAGCCCTAGCAATGCGAAATAGATACATAAATAAATAACCTTAAATTATACCCTCAACCAAACTATTGATCAAGAATGAAGGCAAGTAAAAGAATTTTTAGATATGCAAGGATTATGAAAGTATCTTCTATTCACCCTTTCCTAGGCGCTAATAGTTGATGTGTTTCAGGACAAGAAAGGAAGAAAAGTAATGAAAAAAGAAGGATGTAGCAGCTGGGAACCAAAGAGCTGAGTCAACAAGGCGGGAAAGACGGTGACAGCTATGTGGCGGCCTGAGAACAGATAGATTACCTGTGAGGTGGAAGGAGCCGGGGAAATAATCAGACTTGACAGAGTAGAGGGTACAGCAAATCTGGTGACAAAGTGAGAGTCAAAAGAAAAATTCAGCCTCTACTTGAAAGGCTGAAGCAGAAGGCTGGGCAGTGTGGCAAGACTCCATCTCTTTAAATAAAAAGGGATTGGAGACGTAGCTCCATGGTAGAGCACTTGTCTCGCATGTGCAAGACTATGTGTTTAGTCCTGGTATGGGAAAAAATAAGGAACAAAATAAAAGCACTATAGATCAATGGAACTGAGTGGAGAGCCGAGAAATAGACCCACACAATTGTAATCAGCTAGGCTTTGACAAGGGAAGAAGAAGAATCTTATTTTTATTTTTTTAAAAGCAGGGTATCACTACTGAACTTGCAACCCTCCCACTCAGCTTCCCAAGTAGCCAGCATAATAGGCATTGGCCACCATCCCCAGCAAAGATAGTCTTTCAACAAACAGTGCTGGAACAACTAGACATTTAAACAACAACAACAAAATCAATCTAGACACAGACTTTACACCCTTCACAAAAACTAACTCAAAATGGGTCACTTGAAACTATAAAACTCTGAAAAGATAACTTAGGAAAACATCTAGATCCGTGGTGGCAAAGCTATGGCACACGTGTTACAGTGTTTTTCTACGACCAAAGATGTTGCTATAAAATTGTTTATTGTAAACTAAAACCTCAGTATTCAATTTTAGTGTTAATTGCAGTGTTGGCACTTTGATGAATAACTGAGTTTGGGGTTGTAATTTGGCACTAGGTCTCTGAAAGTTTCACCATCGTCAACCTAGATGATTTTAGGTATGGTGACAACTTTTTAGCCATGACACCAAAGCCACTATGAAGAAATAACTGATAAGGTGATATCATAAATTAAGACCTTCTCTGCCAAAGACACTGTCACAAGAATGAGAGGCCAAGCTACACACTGGGAGAAAATATTTGCAAAAGACATATCTGACAAAGGAAAGTTATCCGAAATATACAAAGAAATCTTTAAATTCAAGAATAAGAAAATAAACAACAACAAAAAACAATTAAACATGGGCAAAACTCAGAACAGACGCCTCACCAAAGAAGATTCCAGTGAGACAGATACATGCATATGAGAAGACGCCTGGCACCATTTGTCATTAGGGAATTGCAAATGAAAGGATGAGGCCACTGTCCATCTGCTAGAATGACTCAAAAGCAAAACTCTGACAACACCAGATGCTGGGAGGATGTAGGGGACACCCACTCATTGTTGGTAGGAATTCAAAATGATATGAATCTTTTCATAGACAATGTGGCAGTTTTTCTTACAAAGTAGACACAGTTTTACCATATGACCCAGCAGTCATTCTCCTTGATATTTACTCAAATGGATTAAAAATTTATGGCTACCCAAAACCCTGTACACAAATATTTATAGAGCTTTTATTCATAATTGCCAAACTTCTAAGCTATGAAGTTGTCTTTTTGGTAGGTGTATGGATAAATAAACTGTGGCACATCCAGGTTGTTGGAATATTACTGTGCGTGAGAAAGATAGGGACTGTC